TTGGAAAAACTCCCTCGCGCATCTTACCCTTCGGGGCCGGGCGCGCAAAAAGGAGGTGTGACAATTAACTCTAGATCCAAATATATTAAGTACAAAAATCGAAGAAGAACAAGAACGTGTAATATTTCTTAAGATAATTATCGTACATCAAATGTGGATGATAGGCTTACATATATGACAGGTTTGCATCATAATCGTGGAAGCAAAGAAGGAGAAGAGAGGGAACTGTTGATGGCCAAGAGATTTCCCTTGTTGATTCCATAGTCATGACTGCCCAAACGCCTCCCCCCCCCCCCCTTCGCTTCTATCTGGGCTTAGTTCCCCATATATATATTAACAATTTTTCCTTTAATCCAATGGTCTTTGACCGTCGTACTTTCTTATGACTGTATCTTTCGCCACCTGCCCAAACATTACGGTTATTCTGCGATGTAAGCTTTTCAACAGTTTGACCCCGGCAATGGCCGAGGTATTCTTTTGCTATCACGCCCCGTGGGCTTGATTACGACTAGGTTGACCCCTTATCATTCCTTTTAAGAATAATCATCCTATGGTCAGATTTTGACCCATACAGTATGTACGATCTCTCGCTAGTACGTAGGATTAAGAAACGAGTACATTAATTATAACAAATGCTGGAGAAGCTAAAAAGATTCCACCCTAAATAAACATAAGGAAAAAAAAAAGTCAAAAATCAAAGCAAAAATAAATACACAACTCGTGGTGGCCAAAAGAGGTCGCCACTAATGTCGCATAGAAAATATTGGCTAAATCATTAGAAAATAGAGAGACGTTATTCAGGAGAAAGTTTCTCTAGAGTATTACTTTTCTCATTAGAAAATATCGGCTAATCCAACTTATTTTATTTTTTTACATATATAATTCTTTTTAAACTTTCCGCCAAGGTTTCGACCAATGTGAATTTGCTTCCGCTCCTGTTGCATTATTATTATTAATGTTTTATTATTAGCTTTTGTGGCGACCATAATCATCACAAAAGTAAACAAATACGCCAAAAAATAAATTTTAGTTATATATATCACTACTTTTGGTGGCAACTATTAGAGACCGCCACATATGAGATTAAAATGAACCAATGACCAGAATATGTAGGCATTAACTTTTCTTTTCTTCTCTATTCTCTTTGTAATTTTCTTTCCTTTAATAACATCACTTGTGGGATTATACTGGGTCGTTGTTGTGTTGTAATAACATCACTTTTGTTTGAAGAAACGTTCTCAGACAATTCCAAGTCTCACCTAGTCATAGTAGTCCTTCATATGTTTAAGGGAAAATAAAGATCTTTAGAACCAAAACTAATACTAGTTGTTGTACAAATCTTCAGCAGAAGTTGATGTAATACTAGTCGACTTGTTAATTCAAATGACCACAACACAAAAAAGGCAATGGAAAGGATACATAAAGTACATTTCTCCAAATATCAAAATGCCCCGTTCTTTACGCCCCGTTCGCGTCAAATGTAATGAACTGGTAGTTGAAAAAAAAAGGTCAAACCAGTCTATGGCACATTCAAACTCAGTAAATTAGATATATATAAAGCAATGAGAATGAGATTGTTCTCATGCTTGTTTTCTTAGATCACACTCTAAAAAGATATCGTGTAATTTTCGTGGTCAAATAAGAATTAAAGAAACAAATAATGAGAATCTAACTGCTACAACACCTGTTAGAGCTGCTGAGACTTTCTTAGGTACTCCAACAATGAAGTAGCCTTCCTCTTGGCTCTCTCGGTGCCACTCTTAGCAAGCTCCGAAAGAGGTATAACCGCACCAAGCCTACAAAGGCAAGCAAGATTCTCAGAATCTCTCTTGCACAACGAGAGTAAGATGGCAGCCGCATTCTCTTTATTACGAGGTAAACCTGTCCTTAGAAGATCTATCAATACTGGGATTGTGCTAGCTCTTGTTATGGCCGCCTTAGCTTCCTGGTGGTTGGCTAGGACTGAAAGAATGGTCAAAGCCTCATCAACCATTGAATCCGTCAGTATTTTTAGCAGGGCTGGTATAATCCCTGCCCGAACAGCCCGACCCTTGTTTCCTTGATATATGCATAAATTAAACAAAGCTGATGCAGCATCTTTCTTCCCTCTTATATTTCCGGTCAGAAGCAAATCAATGAGTGCTGGTATGGCCCCGGATCCACCTATTAATATTTTATTCTCATCGCCGAGTGACAAACTAAAAATGGTTGCTGCTGCATTTTCTCTTGCTTCCATGCTCCCCGCTCTGAGAACTTGAACGATAGAAGGAATAGCACCGGCAAGCATTATAATACCTTTGTTCTCATCAAATATAGAAAGGTTAAGAATAGCAGTGACAGCATTTTCTTGTATCTGCCTGTCTTCAGACGTCAATAATTTAACTAAGACTGGAATTGCTCCCGCTTCAGCAATCAAAATTCTGTTCTCCGTGCTTCTTTTAGAAAGTGAACGGATCTCGGCTACTGCAGCCCTGCAATCTTCGATGGACCTGCTTGAAAGCTTGCGTACAATTACCTCAATAGCCGCTACTTCCCGACTAACATAGCGAAATGATCCATCACCTTTCTTTATTTTCCCATTTGCAAATGTGGTTGACTGCTCTATATTGTTCTTTGCACACCAATCACTAATAAGATTTCGCAGTGCGTAATTTGGGGTGAGCGTGAGATTTTGGAGTTGTTGCTGAGTTTTTGGGCATGTTGTGTGCCCACCATCTATCCATTGTTGTATGTAGGATCTCTCATAAGTCTGTCGGGTTGAGAAACGAGTACATTAGAACAAATGTTGGAGAAGCTAAAAGAGTATTTCACCGAAAATTAACATAAGGAAAAGAAAAACTAAATGTTAAAATGAACTGAAACCAAAAAGAATTGCCTCTGATGTTATGGATACCATTTACCTGTCCTGTGGCAGCGACAATAACAGGATCCCTCATGAGCTCAAGGGATATTGGGCAAAGAAACTCGACAGGAATTACAGGACAGTCGAGCTTTTCACTCTCCGTGTGACTCTTAAACGGAGAGTCATCTTCTCTAGTCGAACCAGAAATCTCCGGAACACCAACCTCGGACATTTTGGATGAATTTCCTATTCTCTCTGACTCCTGAACTATTTGACTGCAAGCACTTCCATTTGGAACACTACCCTGAGGAACACGTCTAACTTTTGGCCTAACGTCATGATCAATATTGCCAATATTCTCTATATGTAAACTTGCTATTCCACTATTTCCTGAATGGAGTGGATCAATCTCCTTGTCCAGCGGTTGAGACAATGATCGAGATAATAAATTTGAATTTACAGGGCCACTATATCTTTCTGTGGCTCGTCTCAACTGTATTCTGACCAATTCAACCTATCAAAAATAAGAAATATCAGAGGGGAACCCCAAGGAGACGAGCACAAACATGAAAAGATAAAAGCCAAAGCTGACAAACCTGCTCTCGCACTTCTTCTGATATGTCAAAATGATCATATGGCAAGCTATCAAGGGCTTTCTCCAATTTCCATGTAACACATTGAAACTGAAAAAGTATTTTCTTCGCCGCTGAACCCTTGAGTCAAGAAATAGCACAGATTAAGAGAGGTACATGACACCAATTTGAATGAGCACCGTGACTATAGAGCTTTCACTATCACTCTGCTCATTGAAAAAATAAAGATCTCAATGAGGAAAAAAGTTTCTTTGTTCACAAATGTCATTGTGATTAACACTGGTAATCTGTTCTATTTCTGCATTATGGAGGAACAAACTGGAAATATAACCAATATCGGCATAGCCAATAGTGTGCACAGTAATGAATGAAGTTGGAATGGATCATGGTAGGCCAAGATTCAAATCCCAGCGAATGTAAAACAGCTAGGTGATTGGTGATTACTTCCTTCCTCCCAGTCTAAACCTCATAATTACCCAGTACCTTTATTGGTGGGCGGTGGCAGGTATCCGGTGAATTAGTCAAGGTGCGTGTATGGACTGGACACCACCATTATGGGCTATTGATGGACTAGAACAAATTTCAAGCATACTCATTTGTTAGCTATCGGTGAAAATGTACATGATTGGCCCGAAGTCTTGACTACCTGAACCAAATTGAATAGCTTCCTCATTTTCTACGAATAGATCATCTAATGTTAAAAGCTCTCATTTATACTGCTGAAGGATTACTCCTGGATTTTATTTAAGAATATCTCTAGTCAGTTCTTCCATCCAAATTATCATTTTTTGGCATTTGTATCCTAGAAATATTTTTTAAGAAAAATTTTGATTCTTAGCATCAACTTATGCATTTTCACACCAAAGAGAAATACTGAAAAAAACAGATCCGATAACAACAAGCACAACTTTTCATAGAAAAGTTAAACCTATTACTCAGCAGTCAGCACTAACCAGCCAAATGAGAACAAACAAACGCAAGAACTATACACATATGACATAATGGAAATAAAGATTGAAACTTTACTACACCATATGCAAAAGGAGCCAACCCCAGTTCTTTATAGGAAGCAACCTCTCCCCTCCCCTATGGGTTCACCCCTGAGTCTAACGCCTTAACGGCATTTTAAGCGCCTCTCACAACGGACTCGACACCAATGGGGCCGGATTGGTCATCTTCTAGCTTACTCTGCTAGAACTATGAACGCTGTGTCGGAAGCCGTGATCACATAGCCACTTCCGCCCACAGTGTTGCTACGACGGCAGGTCACCGGGAGTGAAGTAAACTCGGCTCCTGATGTAGCACTCATTCGGACCATTCGACGTTTGATTACACACATGACATAATGGGAATTAACATATACATAGAAAAGATTGAAACTTTACTCCACAAAATGCAAAATGAAGTTCCAATATACACAAATGTAACATAATGGAATCAACCTATAAATATAAAGACTTAAACTTTACTACACCAAATGCAAAGTGAAGTTCCAATATACACAAATATGACATAATGGAATCAACCTATAGACATAAAGACTTACACTTTACAACACCAAATGCAAAATGAAGTTCCAATATACACATATGACATAATGGAAATTAACATATAGGTATAAAGACTGAAACTTTACTACAAAAATGCAAAATGAAACTTCAATATATACATATGACATAATGGAAATTAACATACAGTTAAAAGGATTGAAACTTTACCAAACTAGACACTTACAGAAGGGATCTTGGTGTCAAATTCATTAGCAGCTAAAAGTAGGTTCTTTGCAGCCAAAAGAGCTAATGAGAGATCAGAAAAACAAGAATTAAAAGAACCCAAATGGGTATTTAAGTCTTTAATCTCCTNTGGAAACTATGGGGGTAATTTAATTTTGGTGTAGAATTGTTACTATATTTATTTGAGGATATTCCTATAGAAACATTGATTTTGTCAAATGGCATTTGAATATTTAGGAATTACCAGAGAGAACACCAGCTTCTATCTGCTGTCACTTTATACTAATTCTTGATCCTTTTGTTTAATAAATAGCACTTTGATAAGGTTATAAATAACGACACCGGCAAGCCATGTGCGACAGGTTCAACCCAAAAGACATTGAGGGAAATTCGATCTCAGTTCATTTGTATGGATGATCACCCTCCAAACCAACTGGACAACTCCGAAGGGTAGGTTATACTGTTATAGTATGCAATATTGACAAAAATTTATCTGCATCGAATTTTTATATTAAACTAATTAGTGCTAAATATGTATCTTTTTAAATTTCTTTTTTATTTAACCATGATAAAGTGATTTATATTCTTGTTAAAAAAAATTATTTCTAAAGTTAAATGGTGCACTTGGTTGAATAATGGGTTATTTACCTAGAGGAATATGGATCAATTTCCACTTAATTTTTTTTTTTTTACTTTTTTAGTGGTGCATCCATGTTCAAAAAATCCTACATCCGACTCTGGGTGCAAATAAGTATTTTGTGATTAATTATTATATTTAATTTCATGGAAGTACTAGTATCAATTGGAATTTTTTATAGTTAAAATTATTTCTTAAAAAGTTTGAAAATTTCAGAATGAAAGAATTTGACTCTTTCTATATTCTAAAAATATTATTATTTTCCTGGATGGAGGAAGTCAAAAAATCTTTTAGGATGTACAATACATAACCACAACAACGTAATTAAAAGTAATTTATTGTTTTGGATAATTGCAAAGACCGTCATTCAATAATAAATATTCACCGATTTCGTAAAATAGAAGGTTTGGCAAAAGGATTGACCAAAAAAAAAATCTCCAAATTGTTTCCCACCTCATAGAGAATAAATAATTTTTATTTATTTAACCATTCCATATCGCAGTTTACGAGTTAAACTAATTTGAGTTCGTGACGGGTAGATCCACTAAAAAATAAAACAATTCTTTACAAAAAAAAGGTTTTCATTTTCAAAGGGTTTGACCCGAGATTTCTAGTTAAGGTAGAACAACTCCAATTATCGCACCACACCGTGATATAAATAATATTTTTCCGAGTAAAAATAAATGAATAACAATATCTAAATTCTACTCAACGCGTTCTTGAGTTGTAAAGCAAACTGACGAGATTCACGGAATCGGGTAAGGAAAAATGGAAAAAAAAAATATAATTGCAAGAGAGAAGGAAAAAAAAAAGGAAAAAGAATACAGTTGTGAGAAGAATATTTCATCTTTTTTTATAGTTAGCACATGAGAAGCTGTAAAGATATTTATTAAAATTTATCTTTGATATGTCTTTTCCAATTATTGGTTCAACTTTTTAATATTTTCGGATTAAAAAGTGAATTATGGGTCCTCTTAGTCCAAAGGGTCTCAGTCCCACTTTAGAGAGAAATTAATTAATTAAACTAAAAATGAAAGGACATAGACTAGGGTTTTATGTCTTGGGATTAATGTTTTGGAATTTTTGAAAAGAAATAAGTATGATGTAAAACGAAAATAAAGAATAAATTGTGACATAGTTTAATTCCATTTTTGTATCAATATGTTGATCAAGTTTTGAGAATTATTATTTGTTGTGTATTAAAAGATTTATTATTGAGCTGATATTCAGAATTTATGATTTAAAGTCACAAATCGGAAAGCGTAATATATACTCCATCCGTTCCAGTTTATGTGAACTTATTTCTTTTTTGGTCCGTTCCAAAAAGAATGAATCCTTTCTAAATTTGGAAACAATTTAGTATAAACTTACAACTCTACCCTTAATGAGAAGCTTTTATAACTACACAAATACTCTGGGCCTCTTTTTAACTTATTTAGGACCACAAATTCCAAAAATCATCATTTTTTCTTAAACTCCGTGCTCAGTCAAATAAATTCACATAAATTGGAACGGAGGAAGTATTATGAACCAAACAAAGTCTAGGACAATTCTAGCCGCAGAACCATATGTATTCTTGGGGTGTCAACCGATACGTCTTTGTCGGGCTATTATATTGTGTAGCTAGATAATATATCAAATATATATATATATTTATATATTTGATACTCCTGGACTTTTTCTTGAATTTACTTCTTTGTATTTAACCCTTCATAGTGTAAATTATCCTATAAAAAAGAAGCATAAGTATTGCACGTCTTTAGAGTTAAAAGGACCCAAAATGTCGACTAGATATGATGGAAAGGCAAACTAAAATTAAAGGAAACGATGAAGAAGATGACATATCTTATCTTGAAAACGAATTATGTAATTCTTTTTTTTAATGTTTTCTTACTAAGTACCACACTGTCTATCTGAATTTGGCATATAACTAGTTGATCTCATATCCAAATAATAGGAAATAGTCGCAATAAGTTGACAACCAATGTAAAAATAGTCACAAAGAAACACACATTACATTAAAATTCAAGTAAATCATTAAATGGGCAAGGAATTTCATCACATAAAGAAGTTAGTCTCACCAAATCAGGTATAACGTTTAGATACAAAAAGATTTCTGCATCTTATGGGATGAATGGGAATAAAGAAGTTAGCTAATCCAAAAGAGGCCCACTTTGATAAATGGTCACCACTTAGAATTACTGAGGACATGACCCTTGACAGAGAATTATGCAGGTCGAGCATTAAGGTTGTAGGTTAGGTGAAAAATTGTGAATATTTCTACAGCACAATAGAGTGAGACTAGCCAGTTAGGAGTTAGACTAAGAATGTCATTGCTCGTCTATTGATGCAGGGCTTCACCTGCTAGTTTTTACTATACCAGCCATCTATTTCGTATTTCGTATTCTGTATTTCATATCTCCTATATTGCTGTTATTTTATTATGCATTTTTATGGTACTAATATATCGTTTCCTGTTGCTTTTTTGAGCCGAGGGTCTCCTGGAAACAGCCTCTCTACCCTTCGGGGTAGGGGTAAGGTTTGCGTACATATTACCCTCCCCATACCCCACTTGTAAGATTATACTGGGTTGTTATTGTTGTTGTTGTTGTATAATTAAATTCGTGTTACAGAAAAGTGAATAAATTAATTAAATATTGGGATATTAGTGTGTTACGAGTATTTAGGTGCACATAATTTATTTATTTTCCTATAGCTAAGTAGGGATTGAGAGTACATAAGCCACCACAAAACTTAGAGCCCGTTTAGACATAAGTAAATTTTTCCTTTTTTCTAAAAAAATTTTCACTTTTTTTCGAAATCAACATTTGTTCATAAAATTTTCAATTTTCACTTGAAGATGTATTTTGGAATTTTTCGAAAATTTGAAAAACTCCAACAAGCCGTTTTTCAAAATTTTCACTCAGATCACTCAAAAAAACTTCAAAAGCAACCCAAAATTATATTCATGTTCAAACACAACTCTAATTTTCAAATACCATTTTCACCTTTTTTTTTGAAATTTTACATTTCTTATGTCCAAACGCCCACTTAAGGTTATATAGGTTAACTTTCATCAATAATCAGTGCGGAGCCAGAAATTTTGTAAAGAGATCAGTGTTTAAAATTTAATATATATTTACAATTTTGGCTTATATACATAATATAATTTCGATCAAGGGTGTTTAACCGGACACCCTTCTCTATGTGGCTACACCACTGTCAATATATATTTACATTTTTGGCTACTTTTTCTCATTCCCTCCCTAATGTAATAAAATAAATTTAAAAAACAAATATAGTACTATGTGTTAAGTGTCTCCATAGAAGTGCTCTCAGCAGGAAAATATATCATCTGGCCTCATATATTGAGAACTAATAATCCAATGCCCTCTTTTTAATTGGGCATCATTTTGTTTTATTTGTTGTCATGGGAAGAATTTATAATTTCAAGATTTTGCTTTTATTACGATGAAAGAAATTATTAATTTTTTCGCCAAAGTGCCTTCTACATTAAAAAGTGTTATTTTAATATCTTATACACATTGACAGTGTAATTTTTCTAAACGCTCAGATCAATTTAACATGTTACAACATATAAAATCTCATTTAACATGTTACAACATATAATTTTTCTTACTTTGATTTTTAATTAAAAAGCTAAATTATTTAATTTTAATATAAATATCGAGTACAAATAAATTATTTAGGAGCAACAACATGCTCATACAGCCCACGAGGGGATGACAATTTGGCAAAATCACAAGTTTGAAGTGTAATACTTCTGTACATACTACCTAGGACTAGCCTATCTTTTTAGGGGTCGGTTGATTGTTTGTATGTTGTATTAATCCTAAGATTACCAATTTTACTGATTATCACGTGATAATTTATCCTGAAATTACTATTTTACCCTTTGACAAGTATAAGTTATTCATGTACTATATTTAATCTTGGAATAACGTATCCCAAAATTAAATAACCAAACAAGAGATAAAGCAGTACTATATTTTCATTCCAGAATTATTTTTGTTTATCCATCGTACCAAAATGACCCTTACACCATGTATAACCCAAGAATTAAGTTGCTCTAGTTGAGATATCCATCCTTCAGTCTATTGTACTCAGGGTTAGGTGCAGTACAACATATATTTACCCTAAGTTTGCACCTAATATTACGAAATAGTAATTAATGCAGACAGACATAGTATTATTTTGGATATGCATTTCATGTACTAAAAACTTATTAAAAAATTCCTCTCAACAGGAAATAAAATTAACCTTTGGCCTCACATGTTAGGAAAACTTATCCAATCCCCTCTTAAATTTTATATCTAGAAAAGAGCAATAAGTGGGACATTTTATTTTCAATTCAAGTAACAAAACTGCAAGATAAGGAAACCATTAATTAGAAGTGAATCTCATCATAACTAAAACATAGACTTATAACAGCTTTTTTTTTTAATTTTCTTATAACGGCGATGTCCGAGCCAACTATGACGCATATTATTAGTCAAGAACGTCATCGATATCTATGGATGTATTGAAGGAAGTGAATTAAGATCAGGCAATGAACCAATTGGTTGTT